TCAACTATAAGGAATTAGGCAACAACTACTGGTGAAAGACTGTCAACAATTTTTATTCTAAATATATCAGAGACATTTATAGCCAAAAACAAAACATCTGCAAAGGTCAGTGATATAGACTTTATCAAACAAACTTTGCTTTGATTCAAGGAAGTCTTCTAGATTCATACAGAGTTGGAAAGAACAACTCTTTTCCCTTAGATGATGAGAAAAATACAACAAAATGTATAAAGCAGAAAGATCTTAAAATTAGCAGCAGCAGAAGGGAACTTTTAAAATTCCATGCATAATTAATTCCTATTCCATCAGAACATTAAAGTTTTCAGTACAGTTCAGTATGGTATCTAGTTTTTTCCCCACTTATAGTAAGACCAGTATCTGAAAATCTCAGCCATTGGTTCCCAAAACGTATTCAGTCCTAACCTTGAACTAAATTCAAGGTTTTTCCTTATCTATGGAGCCAATAAAATCAGGATTGAGACTTTAAAAAATGCCAGTCACAATACATTTCATTTAATCATATCCCCATTTAATCCACTTTTCTGTTCCAGAAGACAGTGCATGGCCAATAGGGAATACATGAATTCTGGCAGTCAGAAAAGAGATACTGCAATCACCACTGATTCAGCCAACCTGTACTCTGACTTTCTCCTATGACACAGAAAATATATGTGACTCAAAATGCCAGCAAGACCATCTGATGAAGCCCTTTTTGGGTTCATCCCACTTTACCCTTGCAAGGGAGGGGAGATAAGAAACACAAAGCACACTTGGGGCAGCAGGCAATCCCTGGGGAGGGGGAACAGTTATTAGAGGCATTAACTGTCTTTTCCTGTATAAACCAAAGTGAAAATGAAAAAGAGAAAAAGGGCAACTGATGACTAGAAATAAAGGACACTTTCTGAATTATTATCTACCCACCTTATGCAGTGAGATTAGTAGATTATTGAACTGCGGACTGGAAGAAAGTAACCAAATAATAAAGCAGAAAAAAAAGTAGAGACAGTGAGAGTTGCCCAGAAAAAATAATATGCATATAATTCAAAAAGCATTTTGAGCACTCAAACATAAGCATTAATAATCCATCACCAAAATAATTTTTGCATTTTAATCAACTATTCAAGAGGACCATTAAAAAGCCTATATCTGGCAAATGTATAGTATTAGTTTCTGTACATATTCAATGAGCCAAGGAGTAGTAAGCACTACCAGATTTAAATGGAAATATTAATTATAATTACCAATAATAGCGTTGTTTCCACCAAGCTCCAACAGGCATCGTCCTATTAAAATAAACTGTAAGTCATATTAATCTAGCCATTAACTAGCATTTATGCTAGCTCACCTCCCACCATGTCATCACAATTTTATTTAAAAAATGTAAAATGAAAATATTTAACAAAAATGCACAATTGTTTTATTTACATAGCCAAAAATACTTATTTTTGCTATCATTTACGAACAAATAATGCATATTAGCATTTCATGTAGGATTAGGGTTTTATATTTCGCTCTAATTCTTAGCCATAGCAAAAATTAGAATTTAAACAGTTTAAAAGAGGGTTTTGAACATGGTTCTTGACAGGGTCTTGGTCCAGAAACTGAGAGAATATTGGAAGAAATGGCAAGTATGAAAAGGATTCATTCTTCAAAAATAAAGACAGATGGAAAAGTTGTTAGGTAGGTACAAGGCTACCTGACCAAAACAGCCAAACAACAAAAATGATTTTTTTCCATCATTTCTTTTTCATACATTTTTCATACAAACTCCACTGAGAAAACATCTTTTGCAAGTGTGACTATTGGTAGCATAGATTCTAAGCTGTTTATCTTACTAATATTCAGAATAATTAGATTAATGCCTGCACAGGGAAGAACTGTAGCGTGCACTTTTGCAACCTATTTTGTTATTTGAGCCTCAGTGGTAATGTGTGACACACAAGAATTGCCAAAAGAGCAGTATAGGGTAGCGCTGTGTGCCTTTGGTCATTTCTCTTTCATTTCTCTTTCTTGCATCTAGAGCCATTAAAAGAAAGTGAGAAAATTTTTATAATATTACACTTACCAAATCTCTCCTGGACTGTCACAGCTACTTGCTTGCCCACATTGGTGCTGCCAGTGAAGGAGAGCAGATCAATTTGCTCATCTCTTGCCATTGCTGTGCTACACAAAAGAATACAGGAATATTTTAAGGCAGTAGTAGAAAAAGTGGAGCTAGAAAGCACTTGTTAATTACCATTAAGATCTATTATGATAACAATGGAATATTTGATGCATGCTTTATTACACTCTTCATATCATTTTGCTCCTTGATCATAAGTGAAAATTCTTCCAAAAATGATTATATTTATAAAGCATGAATGGAATGGCAAATACTTTAGTGTTCTGCTCTATATTGATCCAAATAGATGTTGTGCATAGGAAGAAGGACCTATGTTTGATAGATAAAATGAGATAACTATGGAAAGAAAAAATGGAACTCTATTCATTTTTCCCACTCAAGCCTTTTCAGTAAGGTTGTGCAATATCTTGGGTTCACTTTCAAAAAGGGTTTTGTAGTGCCCTGAACTGTAAATTTTCCAGGTTCCCACCTTTAATTTCATACAACTTGTTATTAAAATGTTCGCACTATACTAACCAGATTTTATTTTCCAAACTGATTGTTAAGAACAACGCAAATAGAAAGACTTATGTACTATGTACTGTATTAATTCCTATAGAATTAATTTCTTCCCTGTTGTCTTGACATTTCTAAAAAATATTTCTGCTTCAAGACAATGCCACATAAATTAAGGGTCCACCGAAGTTATAGAAAAGCAAACAATCCATTCTATCCATTATAACATTGTATTGATGGAGATACAGTTTGTCAATTCAGCTTCATTTTCTTTTCAGTACAACTACATTTCTAATCATTTTACCAATGGCAGCACATTTAAACTGCAATTCTATGTCTGGGACTATAGGATTACACTAACGATATATGTACACTGAAAATTGTTATTTTCTTATTTAAAAGTGATTTAAGTGGCACCATATACAACAATTCCCTTTTTCTTAAGTTCAGCCAACAATATGGAAGAAAGATGGAGGGAAGGAGGGAGGGAAGGAGAGAGAGACATAACGTTATTGAGGATAGAATTCATTTGGATGAATTAATTCACTATGGCTACTATGCTGCCCAATAATTTTCAAATCTCTGAGCAATTTCTATCAATAGCAAGATTAAAAAGAATAAATATATAATGTAACAGGACCCTCCATTAAATGTCCCACCCAATAGGGTTGGTTAAACTTCATTGTCCTCAGCACTTTCCTGAAGAGCTATGTCTTCATAGCTCTGCAGTTTATTTATTTAGAGAATTTATTTGGCTGCCCACTAACTTTCAGTGACTCTAGGAGGCTTGCAGACAATTGAACAATGGCTCAACAGGAACAACTGACAATAGGGACAATTGAGCAGTTGTTCAATAGGGAAGGGGCAATTTGAATATTTGGAGACAAGCTGTTCCACAGAAGGAATCTGTAGCCATCACCTCGTCTGTGGTGAATACACTTGTGAGATTTCAGATACAGAAGCCGAGAGTATGGAAAGGAGAAGGATGTTTTTAAAGAATCATGCTAGCATTCCTAAAAAGAGTATAACTCATTGCCAAAAATGCATTATGCATCAACATAAGCACAAAAACATGAAAAAGCATGAATACTTAATTTCGGACAATACAATAAATAAACTGTACTTAGTCGGAAACTGTAGGCAAAAGCTAAGTCAGAACTATAAAGAAAAAAGTATAAAAATACCAATAGAGTAGAAATAATTAGTGAATTGGGAAGGGGGGAAATTCAGAGAGTGATTCTCATAAGATTGGTTGCTTAAGACAAGAAATTACTCCTGAGAGTCTGGGGACTGGGAATTAATTGATTTATGTAGTCCAACTGTAAAAAAGGGAATTGGATTTGCACCAGGTATTTGACAACCCCAATCGATCACTGTCTGAGTTTTAACATTCTGACCATTGCCCGCCTCTCTCTTCCCTCTTCATCCCCTCTACAAGAAAGCTACTTTCCTAAAACTACCGTAATGACTCCACAAATATTTTAAGTGACACCTCTAAGCAATAGCAATCCTCTGGAAAGTTTTGATAAATGGATGAGGCCCACAATGGAAAAGTGACACTGAAAGGAGGCTTGAATCTGTCTGTCCTTTAAAACAGAAAGCTTTCCCAATGACAGGAGATTGTTTAGACCAGTTCTAAACCAGGTCCAACATATTTCAGGTTTGGGAAACAGAGCTGAAGGCCTCTAAGCCTGACCCTTTGCAACTTCCCAACTTCTAAAGGAAGTATCTGCAGAAACTGGAAAGAGAGAAGATCTGACATTAACTTTTTCTCTTCGAGGTCAGAATCATATCTGCAACCTGGGCGCAGGAAACACTAGGAATCCAATGGACTGTGGATCACTATATCAAGAACTGCAGGATTACACCCTTAGAAACAAACAAAAAAACAACATGATTTCAGTAGTATCGGAATTTGTCTAAAATCTACATAATATTCAACATGTTGCACTTACCCAATATCTGCTCCACCACAAGCCAGAGAGCAAATAGCACCAGGCAGCTTGTTCTTCTCTAGGACTTGTGCAATTATTCTGGTAATCAAATAAGACATTGATTAATCATACAATATTTCCAATGGGGAAAATAAAATAAGTTTGGATAGATATCTAATATTTCACTTTTGACAATTTCATCTTGCAAGCATATCTAGATGTTGTTGAATACAATTCTTTTTCATGAAAGAGAGAACTGCTGTTTACCTATTTAACTGGCCCTCCAATGTAGCTGCCTGTCGTCCTTCTCTACCCCACCTCCGGAGCTCTGGAGATCTTCAAAAGGGTAAGTGAGCGATTTGGTGACTGAGGTGGGGAGAAGCATGTGGAACCCAGTGGGCTGGCAAAGCAGACCCAGAGCCTGCAGGGACCCAGCAGGGAAGGATGGGATGGGGGAATAGGCAGGGGGCACATTGCAGCATCTCTGCAGTCAGTCGTAAGGGCAAATGACTGCCGCGGGGGGGGGGGGGGAGAGACTGTAGCAGTCTTAACTTTGAAACCGGGTTGTAGGTAGCTTTGGGGGGAAGCTGTCGCAATGTCAAACAGTCGCTAAGTGACTATTTGTAAGTTAATGATTACCTATACTTCCCACATCACCTCACTATAGAGGTTTTAAGTCTGGAATGCCTTCACACATGCATGCATACCATTGGGTGTCCAGGCAGCCAACTCAGAAAAAGGGCAAAAAGGTGAAATATCAAACAACAAGCTTCTTGAAGCAATGTAGAAGACAAAACAAAATTGAAACTTCATGCAAGTCATAGCAATAAAGGAAGGAAACTCACTTTGTAACAGCCACACTGGTGAGGGATGTCGTGGGTGCACCTTTCCTTTAGAAGAAAGGGGAGGGGGGGAGATAAAGATTCTTAGACATAGGAATAATCTAAATTAAAATGAATAATATATGGTATTTCGAGACATACTGCTACATTAATTAAGCACTGAAACCTACAGAAGTACAGGATAACTATAAAAAGGTTTTTCTAAAAATGAGAAAAACTCATAAAGAGATTTCTATACGTCCTTATCCAAGTTTTAAACAGCCAATTCCAATTCTAAGAATGCACCTCAGAAACCCACAGCAGGTGATGCAATTGAGAGTTATGCTACAGAGTTTGACCAAAAAACAGTTTCAGAAAAATTAACACCTCATTATAATCTGTCATAGCAAAAGAAAAATTAATCACATGATTACCCTTTATCTCATACAATCTACTAAAGTTCCTCCAGACTCTACCTATTATTCTTATTGTTAGAACTATCTTCATATGAATAAGGCTATTTTAACAACGAATTGGGCCATTTGTTTCTAAAATTGATTAGCTACTCCCTTGCAGGAATTGTCAGGTTGACATACAATTTAAAAAAAAACCCTCACTATGTGGCTGCTACTCAGTGTGTTTGTTCCCACTCTTACAGCATTTACTTTTTCAACTCAATTATTTGAGTACAGACACTGTACAAAAACTGCATTTAAACTACCACATTTCACAGCTTGGTAGCAGCATAAATTAGGGTGGCTTTGTGCATTCACCAACCTGACACAAAGCATGAGGATGGTTTGCTTGCTCTATTAACAATGACCCAAACAGCAGTACTTCGTGTATGGCAGGCATAGAGAGCTATTTTTAAACTTAAGCCGCTAGAAATCTTGGGAAGTGCCTAATGATCAAGACTCATCCAGAGACAAGATGGGTAATTTGTGGCATGCCAGTTATCTTGGCAGCATAGATGACAACAGCTACACTATCCCAGCGTGAAGGGATGATGGGTTCCTTACTGTGTTATATACAGAAACAAAGAAACAACAGGCCACGTTTGCTGCAGTATAAATTAAGTAAGCCAAGGATTGCCATCTTATATCACTCTCTTTTAAAGCAATACTATCTAACATATATTAATATCTAATGTATTAACTAGAATATGAAGGCTGTAAATGAGATAAAAATATTATCTAATTTCCTGAAGACATACAGTTGCTTTGCACACCTAGCAGCTGCAATATCCTATACAGTATTTTTGTACCATTTACAAATGGCACATAACCACTGGCTATACATACAGGTGGTCCTTGACTTACAATTGTTTAACTACTGTTGGAAATTATGATGGATCATAAAGAGTGCTTTATTGTTCATCTTAAATCAATCACCTGGCATCATAAAATGGTGCCCCTCCCACATCATGTGACTGTGATCTGTTTGGCATCCTGTTTGCACTTATGACGGATTGCCAAGTGCCCCCGCAATCATGTGATTTCCAACCTTCCCTGCTGACTTCCCCAGAAAGTCAACAGGGAAGCTGGAAAGCTGTTGCTGCCTACCAAAGGATTTCCCTTCCCTGGAAATCTTTCCCTGGGTTGCAAAAATAAAGCTTGGTCTTCTGAAGTCCCTACTTCATTTCTCCAGCCAAGCTTAGGAATTGCCTTCTGTGCACAGAGGGAAGAGGGATTCCGATGTGGGCCTGGAGAAACGAAGCAGGGATGGCAAAGATGCAAACTTCATTTTTCTAGCCCAGTGGTTCTCAACCTTTTTAATGCCGCGACCCCCAACCGGTCGTAAGTCGAGGACTAAACCGGTCGTAAGTCGAGGACTAAACCGGTTGTAAGTCGAGGACTACCCAACCGGTCGTAAGTCGAGGACTTTCCCTGCCCGGGAGCGCCGCGCATGCATGGTTCCGCCCCCTGTGCCGGCCGAGGCGTAGCTGGCAAGCGGCAGAGACAGAGCAGGGCGACCACCAGCTGGCCCAGCTCAAGGGAGGTAAGGCACCCGCTGGAAAAGGGGGAAAAAATGGCGGACAGCCTTGTTTGGCGACCCCCGTGAAATGGTCGATCGACCCCAAATGGGGTCGCGACCCATAGGTTGAGAACCGCTGTTCTAGCCAAATGCAGGAGTCCCTTTCCATGCACGGCTGGGAACTACCTGCTCTCCTTCAGCAGACAGCTCTTGCGCTCCGTCTGCTTAATGACCTGCACAGTCACTTAGTGACTACAACTGAGAGAGCTGGGACTGAGGCTGTTGAGCAAAGCAGTCAGGTGGGGGTCTCAGTTAACAATCGCTTTACTCAGTGACTAAGATTCCAGTCCCAATTGTGGTTGTAAGCTGAGGACTTCCTGTAAAGCATCAATCTGGAAATGCACTACTTTGCTTCAAAGAAGCAAACTGGCATCTTAAGCATATTTCAGGAGTCTTGACTACCTCTGAGTTGTGGGGTACAGGCAATAACATGTTCCCTAGCTAAATAGTCCCTAGATTAGAGATATCCTGCCTTACCCGGAATAGCGCAAACACATTTGAAGTAAAACTAGGCTTTGAATGTGATTGTGGCATCTGTATACATTGCCATTCAGCTATGCAGGGTAGTTGGACTTTTGCATGATGCTTAAACATTACTCGATTGAGAGTATTTATCCCATTTTGAGCCCAAATTTATCTCCTCTGCCACCAATAAATCTTTCCAGCTCTTTTTAAATTGAGACTTTTTTTCTACAGCACCCATTTGTCGTAAGAACAGGAATCGAATTTTAATTTTCTTCCTGAGAGGAACTGCCTTTAGTGCTAAAGATCTAACCAAATTCCAGAGAAAAGAAAGTCTTACTCTTCATCATGTAGGGTTATAGCTTACTAAACTGGCTTTATATCATTCTGAATTTTTGTTTGTTTCATTGTATTCTATGTGCGCAAACATTTTTATAAGGTATGTTTGTGCACATAGTGTAAAGTATGGAGACTGCCACTGAAAACACTCATCTTGAAACTGGAAAAAAAATACCTTACCACAAGCAGACATTGCCACAGATGAGTGCAATTGCATTGTTCCATCCATAAACTGCAACAGGGAAATTAAAGGCTGTGATGATGCCAACTAATCCCAAAGGGTTCCATTGTTCTATTAAGGCATGTCCAGGTCCTGAAAGCAAAAACAGCAGTTTTGTTTGGCAAGTTCAGGTGTTTTTTTTTTTAACTTATCCATCCCATTGTCCAAGGAGATCAGGCATATATATAAAACGTATCCAAACTTATTGTTACAACAACTCTTCTATTGTTAGCGCTGAGTTAATAAACTTGGCCCTAGATCAAGCAGCATATTTATCTAAGTTAGTAATCACAGAGAAATAATCCTAGGAACAAACCTTCCAAAGAAAAGCTCAATTCAATAGTCAGGTGACTATTTACAGTGGTATACAACCGCAATCAAGATTTCCACTGGTAGTGATCTTTCTTCATTGTTTTCCCTTTCTTTCTGGAGCAGATTGGTGGAGAGGGATGAATATTTATATAGAGCAGGGGTCTTCAAACTCGGCCCTTTTATGACTCATGGACTTCAACTCCCAGAATTCCTCATCCAGGCATGCTAGCTGAGGAATTCTGGAAGTTGAAGTCCATGAGTCATAAAAGGGCCGAGTTTGATGACCCCTGATATAGAGATACTATGTCAGTTGAATTTCCTACAGACTGGAGAAAATCCATAAATTATATATTTTGACCAAGTTTATGCAAGGCTGATATAATGTCTGGGTAGGACAAATAAATATTTTGGCTTGTCCTGAAGAATATAAACTTAAAATATTACCTACGTCCAAAATAATTCACTATTCTATTACTGAGATTTTCTATATCAGATTACTTTAAAAACATCCAGAATAAATTCTTATGTAGGCAAAAATGTAGGCTTACTTTCTGAAGGCAGCACGGGTCCACCAAACATTCGAGATAAACCAACAGCATAATCACAGATATCTACATATTCCTGGACTTCACCAACACCTTCAACAAAGATCTTCCCCATTTCTAATGATACCTAAAAGCATTAAGGAAAACATTAATCACACGGAACATGATGAATTAGTTTCCAATGGATGGAAACTAATCAGAGAGACAAACAACCTAGAACTAAGGAAAAATTTCCTGACAGTTAGAACAATTAATTAATGCTCCAACACTGGAAGTTTTAAAGGGAAGATTGAACAACCATTTGTCTGAAATGGTATAGCGTTTCCTGCCTGAGCAGGGGGTTGGACTAGAACAGTGTTTCTCAACCTTGACAATTTTAAGGCATGTGGACTTCAGCTCCCAGAATTCCACAGCCAGCAATGTGATGTGCAATGCTGGCTGTGGAATTCTGGGAGTTGAAGTCCACATGCCTTAAAATTGTCAAGGTTGAGAAACACTGGACTAGAAGATCTCCAAGGTCCCTTCCAACTCTATTATTGTTATTGTTATGAATGCTTACAGTTTCCTCAGATCAGAGGACTTCAAACTTGGCTCTTTTACAACTTGTGGACTTCAACTCCCAGAATTCCTCAGCCAGGCACGCGAGTCATAAAAGGGCCAAGTTTGAAGAACCCTGCCTTAGATCCTCTCAAAAGAACACTGCTAGAATGTCCCAAAGGAAGAAACCTGTCTTGCAGCCTTTTCTAATTGTATAATTATATTATGTATGCAACCAATCAATTGCTAATGCTGTTGTGATTTTCAGCTGTAAATGGAAATACTAATATAATGGAATTATTTGGATTCATCTAATGAATTCTAGAATCTATGTACACTTAGTTTTTGTGCCCTACAATGCTGAACTTGAGGATAAACTAAAGCAGGCATGTCAAACTGCCGGCCTGCGGGCAGGGTGCATCATACTGAAACTGCACCCACCCCATTGCCGGTAATGGGGGGAAAGTCACGATATGTTGTCCGATGTCACGTGACGTCACGAGTTTGACATGCATGAACTAAAGCAAAAGAACTATTGATGCAAGAATTAAATAGAAGCATTTTTTTTTTGCTGAACAAAACACAGGCAACCAATACTTTTATCACCTTGTCCTATGAGACAAGATTGAAAAACAAAAAAAAACCATGTTGCTTGGATTGGTTAATAGGTGGATTGGTAGTGAATGCTGACTGCTAGCTGCTACTCAACCAACAGAAACTTGATCCATGGAATGATTAATTGTTTGGGGGAGGAAATCCCATATCCCACAATAAATGACATGCTTGAATTATTTTAAATCCCTACTTTCACATTTTTATTCTGTCATAAAAACCAATTTAGGAAGTTCAGTGGAATAATTTCAAGCTGTTTTGTTCAGAACTCAAAACATGCCTCCTTAACTTTAATCAATACTTGCTAAAAGAAATCAAGTCTGTTGCCATATCAGCATAATGGCATTTGTCAGTGTTTAGAAATCTAATTGATTAAATTAGTAATGCACTCCAGAAGCAACACAACAGGAACTAATGTCTGCACTTTTTTTTTTTTACTAATTTAATGATTATCAATTCCATGGTAAAACTTACTAAATTTCCCAAAATTTTGATTTTGTCTCTTAAGGCGTCTCCAATCTGTCTCACTATTTCTCCTCGTTTAGGTGCAGGAACCTATAAAAAGAAAGCAAAAAAAAATTATTTGCTTAAGTCCAGTCTTTCAGAATCCTGCATACTTTCCCTAAAATCATGCAAAATATATTTCTGGACATAAAATGATTTGATATTTTACCACTATGAATACTGAACAAAGCCTACACTAGATTGATAAAATAAGCAAACATACAGAAGTTGCTATAATTAAAATTATGACATAAATCAGGAAAAATATAAAATAATCCTGTCTGACCAATTTAGTTACACATTTTACAATTTTTACATTAAAGGTAGTCCTCAATTTACCACAGCCATTTGTTTAACAACAATTTAAAGTTACAATGGCCTCCAAAAAAAGTGACTTACAACCAGTCCTTAAAGTTACAACCATTTCACCATCCATAGTTGCATGATTGCAATTCAGATGCTTGGCAAGTAGCATGCATTTACAAAGTCTTGAAGTCACAATTTACAACCTTCCCAGCTGGCTTCTGATAAGTGAACTGAGGAAGCTGGATTCACTTAATTACCATATGATTTGCTTATTAACCATGTGATTCCTGTAATGACTGAGGTGATTCATTCACACTTATTACCATGGAAAAATGATAATAAAATCAAGTGTCACATGATGACTACAAGTTTAATGACCGCATTGCTTAGTGACCAAAATTCCAGTTCCAACTGTGGTCACAAGTCAGGGACTACCTGTGCACTTTTTGAAATATATTACTATTTTTAAATGCCTCAAAAACTTAGCTATCAAGTAAATTGAGCCAGCAGAATGACAGCTAACAAAATTAAGTCATATTCCAACATTTATTTTGATTAATATATCACACATTGTTTAACTGGAAGGAAATTTTATGAAATATACTTTAACTTACTCTCAGATGAACCTGAATGAATAGGATCAGATTTTAAAATCATACAGAAAAAAACACTACTTGATACTCTTAGACAAGAGTACGATTCATATGTACAATTTAAAAATATGAACATTTGATCTGAAAAAACAGACTGTAGCGTCACTATCAAAACTATCCCTAGCATTCAAGATTTAACTCACCTCTGCCCATATTTGCCAAGCTTCTTTAGCTTTCTTTATTGTTTCTTCATAGTCTTCCAAATTTGCCTAAAACCAAGCAGTAAAAAAATGCTGCAATGGACAAAATGATAACACAAGACTCAGTTTTTCATAAATCAATGGAGAATTGGAAACTACACAGATGTTTCATAAAGTCATGAATAATCAAGACAGTTAAATAATCAATAATCATGGGAGACANTTTCATGTGTGGTGGACTTGTAGGGCGGTTAAAGCATTTTGGATAAAGATATAGTGGAATATTCAAAATATTTTTAAGAAAAAGATAAAGTTTAAGCCTCAGTTATTTTTGTTGGGCATTATGGAAAATTTGGATAAAAAAGAAATGGAATTGATGCTGAATTGGATAACTGCTGCAAGATTATTAGTAGCCCAACGTTTGAAAACGGAATGTTTGCCCACTATAGAAGATTGGGCATTTAAAGTTTCAAACCTAGCAGAAATGGCTAAGATTTCAGCCTACGTGAAGGATTACTCACAAGAAAGATATATTTTGGTTTGGAGAAGATGGATAGATTATATTGAGAATAAATATGGAACTAAAAAGTTTCATTTGGTTTTTGAGTAAATTTTAGGTTGTTAATGTAGTTTATTTTTTTTTAATTAGTAATAATAATGTTTAATATGTTTGTTCAGAAGAGAGCTAAAGGATGTTATAGAATTGTTAACTTAAGGTTGATATAATTTAAGACAGAGTATAATTATTGTATTGTTAACCCTGTGTGTGGCTCTGGGAAGTCGGGGGGGGAGGGAGGGGGGGGATGCTGGGTTTTGGGGAGGAGGGGAGTTATATTGTAAAACTTTTAAAAATTTTCAATTAAAAAAAAAAAAGTTCAGTTTGGGGGTTTCATTGTTATTTAAACACCTATTAGCCCTATTTCTACACAAAATCTCCATCTGGTAAGGGGGGGAAAGGTAATCTATAATATTTTCTACTTGCATTGCTTTTAGCTAGTCTGTATTTCTTATTCATCTCATGAATTTTCTTAACATTCCAGCCTTGAGATCTGCTTATGATTTTTTTCTCTTAATGATGCTTTTTATTAAAGAGTCAAATATATATAGATAGATATATATAAATCTTACCTGGCGAACTTTAGCTATGGGCTGATTATTTGCAGGACAGTATGTAGTCACAACCTAAAGAAAAAACATTTCAGTCCCATTTAGTAACCATCCCTACAATCATAAACCTCATGGTCAAAAGCTGGCACAAGTTGTGGCATTGGCTGGATCCAAATCAACAGAGCAGTTTTTATGCCAAGTCACATTATAGGAACTGATAAATCAGAATGAGTTCAGTCAAAAGTCAAAAGTCCAGGAATCAAGCTGTACAAGAAGTAGCTGAATGCTAAATGCAGAAAAAATAACAGCGAGACATGATGATGATTTTTAAAGACCTGAAATGCAGAATTGCTTCTGTACTTCCACAGGAAAGCTCAGATCCAAAAGAAGAAATTGCAAGGAAGGTTGTTTCAACTGCACATTAATTGAAAGAGCATGAGCTTTATGACAAGTATCAGATGATAGCTGAAGGCAGCAGCTTTCGTTCACTGGAAGCTTTTAATCAGGCAGGATTAATCAAGCTTTTAATCATTGCAAATCCTGCACTGTACAGGTAACTAAGAAGAATGTGATTGCTTCTAAGTTTCCATCAATTCTCTGATAATCATCCTGGTCATCTTAACTTTGGAATTTACTAATCGGCCACATGCCAACTATTGTTTTAATCTCAGTTGCTTGACTGCAAAATGACAGTGCTTATGCCCTGGAAATACAATTGCTAAATTTCACAACAGATTTGGCTACATTGATTAGGGTTTCCAGGACATGAAGCCCCAATGCCTGTAGATCAGTGGTTCTCAGCCTATGGGTCGGGACCCCATTTGGGGTCGATCGACCATTTCACGGGGGTCGCCAAGCAAGGCTGTCCGCCATTTTTTTTGTCCGCCATTTTTTTCCCCCTTTTCCGGTGGGTGCCTTACCTCCCTTGGGCTGGGCCAGCTGGTGGTCGGCCTGCTCCGTCTCTGCCGCTTACCAGCTACGCCTCGGCCGGCGCAGGGGGCGGAACCATGCATGTGCGGCGCTCCCGGGCAGGGAAAGTCCTCAACTTACGAACGGTTGTGTAGTCCTCGACTTACGACCGGTTTAGTCCTCGACTTACGACCGGTTGGGGTCGTGGCATTAAAAAGGTTGAGAACCACTGCTGTAGATCGCCAGCCCATGAAAGAGTACCCAAGGGTGGCACTGGTGACTCATATCGTCATAAAGCAGTGGTTCTCAACCTGTGGGTCGGGACCCCATTTGGGGTCGATCGACCATTTCATGGGGGTCGCCAAGCAAGGCTGTCCGCCATTTTTTTTGTCCGCCATTTTTTTTTCCCTTTTTCCGGCGGGTGCCTTACCTCCCTTGGGCTGGGCCAGCTGGTGGTCGGCCTGCATGCGCGGTGCTCCCGGGAAGGGAAAGTCCTCGACTTACGACCGGTTGGGTAGTCCTCGACTTATGACCGGTTTAGTCCTTGACTTACGACCGGTTTAGTCCTTGACTTACGACCGGTTTAGTCCTTGACTTACGACCGGTTGGGGTCGCGGCATTAAAAAGGTTGAGAACCACTGTCATAAAGGCATGCAGAAATATTATAATGAGGATAAGTCAGAAAAGTATACTGTCTGCAATGTTTTTAGGTCTACCTGCTGATGAAAGTCACAAAAGAGGGAAGAGCCGAAAAAAGCTGCAGGACTGCAAGACACGCATTCTCTTTCCGAGCCGAGAGAAATGAATGATTAAACCGAGACTTATCTCTTTCTGCCAATTCTAATACGGGCTGCCACCTCAATTGTGAGACGTGGAAACGTTTCTTAAAATGCAAACAAAAAAAAACCAAAAGAAAACCGCAGACTTAAAACGAAGACGCGATGCTAATCTCAAAGAACTGGAGCAGGGGTAGTCAACCTTGGCTCTTTTATGACTCGTGGACTTCAACTCCCAGAATTCCTGAGCCAGCACAGCTGGCTCAGGAATTCTGGGAGTTGAAGTCCACGAGTCATAAAAGAGCCAAGGTTGACTACCCCTGAACTGGAG